TGCGGCAAGACATTTGAGACGTTCTGTTGCGTTCGTCCCCTTCTGTGTTCCCGAGTCTCGGGTTTTATTACCATGAATCATCACCAGCTCGCTTGTTTTTTAAGTATTATTGAAGACATTCTCGAACGCCTGCACAGTGGACACCAGGGCATCGTGAGATGTCGAGCCAGGGCGAGGGACTTGGTTCGGTGGCCAGGCATCAGTCAACAGATTTACGACTACGTCAACCTGTGCCCTACCTGCCAGAAGTTCCGGCAACCAGGTGCGGAGCCTATAATTCAGACAACTCTGCCCGAACGTCCATGGCAGGAGATCGGTATGGATCTGTTTCTGTTGGATGGGAAGAACTACTTGGTAGTCATCGACTACTTCTCCAAGTTCTTTGAGCTTAAGCAGCTCCACAGGACGACGTCAAAGGACGTCATCGAAGCACTGAGTGAAATATTCGCACGATTTGGAATCCCGGAGGTCATTCGTTCCGACGGTGGACCCCAGTTTGCATCAAGCGAATTCAAGTGCTTTACACACAAGTGGGCAGCGCGACACGTAACGTCGAGTCCCTACTATCCCCAAAGCAATGGCGAGGCAGAAAGAGCCGTCCAAACCTCGAAGAACCTGCTTAGGAAGTCCGAGGACCCTGCACAGGTTCTTCTGGCTCACAGGACTACGCCAGGGAAGGGGGGCTATACACCAGCGGAACTGTTGATGGGACGACGACTGAAGTCTACAGTTCCTGTGTCACCGCAGCTTCTGACGCCCAACTGGAAGTACACTGCTCGCTACAGGCAGCGTCACAACGTAGTGAAAGCCAAAGAGAAAAGCCACTACAACAAGCGTCACAGAGCAAGAGACAGAGCTGAACTGGCCCCTAGATCGGAAGTCTGGATGTACGCGGGCGCCGCACACCAAGGAGTGGTGCTGCAGCAAACCCACGAACCACGGTCATACCTGGTGCAGACTGAACATGGTGCATTAAGTCGCACTACCAGACATCTGCAGACTGCGAGACAAAACACCACACACAGCGTGGTCGCACACAAGGGACCACCAGCTTCATCTGGCAGCAATAACGGCCTGGTGACCAGAAGCGGAAGGATCTCTAGAGCACCGGCACGATATAGACAATAGGTCTTAGAAGGGAAGGTGTCGTGTCCAGAGACGGAAAGAGGTCTGGCAACTCTGGGTCGAGGAGAGACGCCATATTAAAAGAGCGGGAAACAAACGTTCGTCTCTATCTCGTCTCTAACGTTCTAAGAGGTTCGCAAACGGTACACGACAAAACGAAGCGTCAGAGAAACGTGTCCTTACGATTGGGAAGATGCTGAAAGAGGCTTGTTGCCGCAAGCGTGTCAAACCAGAACATTCGGCACGCATTGCAAACATCGAACTCCAAGCGTATGTGCTTAAAATTGGGCACGCGAACGTCGTTTCGCAAGAAGTTTCAAGTCTTTGTTTTACAGCTCAACTCGTAGGTGATGGAATATTAAAAATAAACCAAAAACGGCGGCTGTGCATTTTTTTTTTCCTATACCATTTTGTTGGTCGTCTGCGCACTGGTCTTCAAGCTCGCTCCCGGGTGGCTTGCTGAACGCAAAAACGCCGAGAACGCCATAGTCGAGGCTGGCTACGAGCATCATAACCGCGAATTGTAATTATTTAAAAACATATATGAACACTGATCACTTGAGAGCAAGCTTGCAAACCAGTGGACTGACGATGAACATCTTCTATAGGACATAGGAAATACACGGCCGCCATTTTTTGCTCTATATTTCTTTACCTCTTAGAGAGATAGATAAATAGATGGATAGATGGGGTTTATTTACGTGCCTGCAAACAGCCAAGTGGCCTGAGCAGCAGTGCACTGTCCTGTACACAGATACATAAAAGTATGGGATAAAAACACAATCAGACGAAAATGTCTGTTTCATCAAAAAAGGCATCATGAATCTGTTGCAGACGTGTCATTGGGCAAGTGGCCCGCACATCAGGATAAAACGTATCTCTGCATTTTGATATCTTCCCTGAGGGTACCCGGAACCTCAGCGACATCAGTTGGGTTGAGTTGTGAAGCTTTAAAGTTGAGCTTTAAAAAAAAAATAAAGACATAAAACTTTTCGCGAAACGACGTTTGCGTGCCGAAATTAAGCTTTGCACATACAGAATTCGACTTTTGCAAAGTGTGCCTAATGCGCTGGTCCTTACTGTCGCTCTCTGTACAGCAAAATTTGGGCGTCGTTCAACCGCTGCTGTGGAAGCACCAAAAAAGCTTTGCCCAGGATTCGAAGCTTTCCACACCGGTGAAGACGTCCTGTAGGACAGGAATTGTAGTTTCTGTTGTCCTCCCACCGCTGCCACCACTTATACCAGGCCGAGGATGTTCAGTGGTCACCTGTGTAAGGCTTAAGGTACTCCACAGGGTTTTTTTTTTTTTTTTGAGCTACAATTAATTATATTTTCTGACTCGCCGGCCTTTACACTTTCCGGTATGCTATATTTAGTATCGCGAAATTTATAATGGTTATTGTGAAATCGGCAAATGAAAATGATGCAAAAATCAACATTCAAATATACACGCACTTTTCAGTGCCGTGACGTCCAGTGGCAGGCAGGCTTGCCAGCCGAGCATGCAGTCTAAGATATAGAAGATTCTAATCACTTGTTTCGTGCTGGAGTGCGGGTATTGGAGCGAGCTTCCAAAGCATTCATTTGACACCATGAAACTGCTTCGAATCAGTTGGGAACAAATTCTACAGTCCAAAGAGTGAACCCCTGCATTGCACTGACGTCATTTTTTCGTTGTTTCAGTAGAGACGTTCAGTTTGAGAAACACGGTGAGGACCATAACTGTAAATTCAATAACTTCGCGAAAAAAAACAATATTTTGACCTAATCTTTGGTATAGTATTTTAGCGATGTTTGTTGGTGAGTTTAGCAAACTTTCAAGCAAATCGGAGACAATGAAAAAACCTGTGGAAAAAACCTGTAGTTGCATCCCCTTTAAAGGGGATGCAACGATACTGAATTGGAATGTCTCTCACTTCACACTATTTTACTGGCACGTAGTGATCACAAATATACTGGCAAGCAACGCCATGATCAAGACGCTCCTTTGTCCCCGCGTAATTTCAACAAAAAGAGCGGACGTTTTCTTTCAGTCTTTCTTTTCCAAAACTCGACGATGAAGTTGTGGGGATTGCATTATTGGCAATGCCAACAATGCGATTCCTAGGATTTCCTCATCAAGCTTTACGACCCCCCGATGGTGAATATATTTAAAGTGACTCTTACAGTGGACACGAGCACTACATGAACATTCGATCTGCCCTTGTGGCAATCGTGTGACTGTGAAGAATATTGGTGGCATATAATCTGGGGTCATTAACGTGCATCACAGTAATACACAAACTCATGCCGGAACGATACTCCACCCAATTAAAAAGGACAGATGTGGAAACTAAACCCCTTGGGTTTTGCAGCCTGACCGTTCCCTCCAAGTGAAAGCGCGCGCTGCAGAATGTGGTACATGGTCATTCAGAGATGTTTAAATGGTAAAAAATGCTCGTAGTCAAAAAGCTAGAAAATGGAATTGGGTTGCTCTTATGATGTTGCAGCGATATTGCCACATGATAAATAAAGGCAAACAATTTCTATAAAAACGAAGACTCTTATATTGACTGAACACGCTGAGCATGGTATTGATTCATCGGTGAGCAGCAGACACGAATTTAGTCAACATTGCAATGATCGCCGACAGAATAGTAACCAAACGTAGCGATATGTCGTACGAGCTCCTTTCTCTTCGAGGGCACAGTAGCTGTTCGTCCAGGAGCAAAGCTCCGCTGGAGCACAATCAAGGATAATGTACCAGTGCAGGAATTCCTGCGAGGGGTTAATTGAATGGCGGGCTTCACTCTAAAAACTTTAGTGCGTTTACTCTAACAAGGTGTAAAGTTGGGCGAGTTGGTTGATGGTCATAATGAATGGGTTAAAACAGCGCAAAAAGGACGAAGGACCAGTAAAAGGAAACACACAGAGAGGCTCAAAGAAAGGAATTTGTACACGGAAATTGAACACGCGCTGGGACGCCGAGCATCCCTGGAACGCAATGCTTCATGAATTCCATGACTATGAATTCCTGACGTTCTTGCATACGATATGTGCGAAGGTTTCTAGCAAAACGCAGTTTTACAAAAAGTGCAGCCCCCTTGCTGTGTCATGACGTCAGCATAAACAAATATGCCGGCCCCCATGGAACAGAGCAGACAATGGTCTATACTAGGTATGAAACGGAGTATAATATCTTTCTGTTGCCCATGGGGCGTGGCCCACCGGATGCTCTGTGGCGCGCCGATCCTTAGCGCAACGGAACGCAAGGAGGAACATGCCAATGAACTGGCGACATTAAGAGAACGCAAAGAACCTGCGATGACCATGCAGTCAAGCGCGCGCTGTCATTGGTTGAAGTCGGGCGAAAATAAAAGCACGTGGGTAGATTTGGAGGGTAAACAAACCAACGCACGAGGTGCGCGAAGAGCGTACAAACTTTCACGTCGTATAAAATATGTTTGCTGCCATTTCTGATCTTAAGTCGGTGTCAGTAAAAAGGCCCAAAATAATAAGACAGTTTGAAGGAAAATAAAAGGAAAAAAAAAGACACATATTCACCGTTTTTGTTACGTTCCACGTCTCCGGGTAACATTTCTTTTTCTCCATAACGGTAATTCTCCAGCTGACTCATCGTTCTTCATGGCGTCCCGTAAACCGAGTATTGTTCGAATTCTACGCGTTGCACAATGGAAAATTGACAAGGTCCCTGAGACACGACGGTTATGTCCCGCCGCATTGACCGTTGACACTTGGTAGTGCCATTTGCACGCCAGATTTTTCGAATACGCTGACCTTTGTGTTCAGAAAAGTACAACCAGAGGCACGCCTGCTTCTACGGCAAGGTAACATATGTCTAGTGAGACCCGCCCAAAGACAAAGTAACCACTTACTGCACGGCATGGAGGACGTCGTCCCAGGGTTGATACCACTGCGCCTGCATTAGAGGAGTGACATCGGCTCAGCCTTGCCGTCTATCAGCTCCCCCGAACAACCTACACGCAATGGGCTCAAAGAAAAAAAGAAAAAGAGGCAGCGTTATCTAAGGCACGGCACACGTATTAGAATGGACGCTTATCTCGACCCTTCGACATTGCCCTACAAGTAGCTCATATTCTTTCCCGGAAAAGGGGACGGAGGGGAGCTGTTGGGTCAGGGCTCTCTCGTGCCCCAGATTCCGTCACAATTACTGAATGCATCGCTCTCTCCTGTGGATCAGGTAGGTGAGCACAAACTCAAAATGACATTCCCTATTTTGAAATTCTGGAAATTAATTCAAAAATTGAAAACTTAAGGAAGAATTAAATATAGAGGGGCAGACACGGACAGCACACGTGTCCGCCCTCTATATTTATTTATATTACTTAAAGGCCGACGAGTGGCCAGGAAGGTGGAAACTCTCGCTCAATTCCTCCTGTCCAATCCAGAAAGGGGCAGATTCTCGTCTTTCCTGCGGGGAGTAGCTCAGAGACCCGCTCCTGTGGGGAGAGGAGGAGAGAAGAGCGCGAGTGGGAATGGGAGAGAACAAAACTGGGGAAAATCGAGTTATCCAACCAAGTAACTTCACACGTCTTTTTCGCGCTTTGTTCTGTTCCCTGGATTAAAACCTACCTCAAAAAAAAAATTGCTAGACGTTTATTGGCTGGCATAAGACAATTGATTCTGGCAGAATTACCATTATCGTTGAAATCTACCCGCGCCGACCATTAAGAATAGCTGTTGTCTCTTCACTCCCTGTACGAGAGATGACGCTTTGCTGTGGTCGCTGGAAAAAATTTTTTTCTGCCCTTTAAATGCAAGAAAACTTTGTATTTAAAACATTTAAACCAGCTACATCCTTGTGCCGCAATGATCACTGTCTCCTTGCTCATGATAGAGCGTAACGCTTCAGAAAACCCGCCAGGGACGGCGGTTTTCTTTTTTCTTTTTTTTTAAAGAAAAACAAAATTAGCCCCTTAGCAGCTCGCGTTGTCACCTCACATCTTTACATTTGGGGCTGCTTCATATAAACACTAGCGTGATCAGGAATGAGTTCAGATCCTGCACTCTAAACACGGTAGCGGATCTCTCCGCTACTTATCCGCGACTTTTATTGCAAACATGTGACGGCTATATTTGTGGAGAATATCTGGGTCACCTTGAATATTTTTTTAATGTGTTCGCCTAAAGATAATTTATCTGGTATCCACAGAAAACATTTTATCACGGTTAACCCGAAGATTTCTTTTTATCTGCCCAAGTAGCAAAGATAAGCGGCGCTAGAGCGGGTCGGTCTTGGGGAAGTTATCGGGTCAGCGTCGGCTGCCAGTCTCGGCCCAGTTCCGGGTTTGCTACATCGAGCAGAACCCGGTCCGACGCCGGCCTCCGATTCTGGGCCGACAGCGGCTTCTACCTCCAACCCGACAATGGTTGAATCGAATTGTTCGGCAACGGGCCGGGATCGGTAACCGATTACGGGCCGGTTCTGGGTAGGGCTTCCGGGTCGAGCGCGGCTTCCAAGGGCGTCCTGGTTATGGCCCCACCCCCGTAATATTGTAATCCGGCCGGAACCGACTATCGACTCCGGGTCGATTGTAGCTTTGAAAGGAATAAAATGTTGTATTTGCGCAAATCAATATTCATATTGAGATTTTAAAGATTATCGTATATAAAAATCAACGTCACGTTCAGTATCAAGTAAACACCCTATTTAATTTATAATTAAAAAGATCTCACACCGAGGTTTGTAGATTTAAAAGAATCTTCAGCGTGGTCTAGACTACACTGAAGATATTGCAAAACCTTGCCAATTACTGTCAAATATAAAATTTTATAAAGCACTCATTAAGCTCAAATAATTTAGCCTATTAAAACCTATTTTGAGAGATATTTTAGAAAGTTGAATGCTAAAAAATGAAAAAGAAGCCCGGGGGGGGGGGGGGAGAGGGGGGTGCGAGAGAGAGATAAGGAGACATTAAGGAATAATGAAAGGGGAAGGGAGTCAAACATGTGTCCCCCAGTTGGAGGAAAAATGACATATTACTTTGACCCAGAGAGAACACAAGCGTTCATCGAAAAAAGTTTATAAACGCAAATAAAGTATATAAGCCCTGTTTATCCTTCTAGAAAAAATGAAGACAAACCCTAAAAGAAAAAAAATGAAAGACGTTTACAACTCCCTATAATGCCGAATTAGAGCGCAGCTCTTGAGGAGGAGGAGGGGAGGGTACGAAGGGGACGGCATACCCCTCCTCCTCATCTGTACCCTCTCCTCCTCCCTCCTCATCTACTCATCCCGTGATCCTCTTCTTCTCCTCCTCCCTCTTCCTCCTCCCTCCTCCTCCATCCATCCTCCCCCTTCCCCTCCTCCCTCCCGCGCGGTGCATTATGGGACCTTTCCCATGTGGTCACGTACGCACGCACCGACCCAGCGGCTCCCGAGAGAACTTTTCTCCGCTCGATCGAGCGGCCCCGGTGAGAGTCAGATTACCTTACCCGGCTCAAGTGCTGCGTCGTCGACGGATGTTGCCGCACGCTTACATAAGTCCGCGCAACATCCATTACACCACATTAGATAACATCTTGGCAATCACACCATAGCACTGCCAATACTGCTGTCTCATCTGGCTGACGTATTGCCTCGCGATTGCACCAGTTCACGCCATCGCGAGGTGACCCTCAGCACGAGGGTTTAAAAAGGGGTCGGGACAGAGGTCTGAACGGAGATGAGACGGACCGAGACGATATTGGGCCATCCACCTGGACTGACGACGACATCGATGCTGCATCATTATTCTAAAGTTGGACAAATAATAACCAGTTAATTCAATAAAAAGTTAGCGTTCTCACCAACCGTTTTAGACCATTTTAACTTCCTAGTCAAGTCTAGAACACCGCAGACGCAACAGTGGTGACCCGGAGAGCACTGTCCTTCTCAAGGGAAGCCCTCTTCAGCAAGCAAGCACATCATCATACCGGCCCTCCCATATTCGCACCGAACGGAAACTCCCGGCCCTGCTCATTTCCCTCGTCTCCCAGAGGTTCCTTCCACTGCCTGGCCCGCCGACTCCCGGACAACGGCTCAACCGAACAGCATCACCGACACGGTTCCTGTTCCTCATAGCCCACGACATGGCAGTGGTGGTACCGCTCGACGGAAATGCGAAGCTCGGCGAGCGCTTTTGCAACGACGGTCTCTGCCACCGCCACTGTCCGCTCCACTCCAGCGACCATCTTGTCCGCGGGGCGCGTCACCCATTGTTGCCCCAACTTTCGGCGCCACGGCCCGCGACTCAAGCAAAATACCGCCTCCGCCACCATCACCGCCGGTGAGCTCCATCTCCTTTCTTTCACAACGCAAGACAAACGAAGAAAGCTACCCGCGTCCCTGCCACGCCGTCAACGCTGCACCCCTCCGCGTGCAGTTTACCGCAAGGCACCCACAGCGTCGGAACTCACAGCGTGGCACTCAATCAAGCAAATTACCGCCTGCAACCCAGCGCAACTCAATGCGTGCAACCCAACGCGGCCACACCACGCTACTCGCCGCGTGCCACTCAACCAGCAAACCACCGTGTGCAACCCAGCGCAACACAATGCGTGCAACCCAACGCGGCGATACCACGTCACTCAACGGGTGCCACTCTCTGCACTCAGCTCACTGCAGACACCCCAACACGAGTACGTCCCCGCCGCCTCCTCACCGCAAGTCCAATCACAGCAAGCGCCTCACCGCCGGCCACCCACCGCCAAGTCCCACCGCCTGCTGCTCTACGCGAGTACCACGCGGCCGACTCAATGCGGGGCCTCGGCACGGGCACACTACTGCAAGCGACTCTCTGCAGCCCTTCTGACGCTCCTGGCTCATTGGGAAAAATCACGCGCGTCCGAAGAGACTGCAACATGTGATGCACGGGCTACGCCCTCAACTTTCCACGACGGCCCACACAAGGTTCTGTAGCACCGACCGACGCCACTCACGGTCGGCGCTCACGAAAAGAGCGAAGTGATCGCCACCTATCATCGAAATCTTTATCTTTCGCATCAACTCTTCTCGTCGTCCACCCCAACCATCATCGCCCGAATGTCCAGCAACCGGAGATCCAGACACGCTCCGGCCGCCACGTGCAACAGCGTCTGGGCATCGCATCTCCTCCTTCAACAGCTGCTGCACACCTCACTCGCGCCCGCGGCGAGTCGAAAGCCTAGACTTCGGATAACGGTGGTCTCTAAACGTTCGCCTACTCTCTGGGGAGGGAGTACTGTGGTCACGTACGCACGCACCGACCCAGCGGCTCCCGAGAGAACTTTTCTCCGCTCGATCGAGCGGCCCCGGAGAGCGTCAGATTGATTACCTTATTCGGCTCAAGTGCTGCGTCGTCGACGGATGTTGCCGCACGCTTACATAAGTCCGCGCAACATCCATTAGACCACATTAGATAACATCTTGGCAGTCACACCATAGCACTACCAATACTGCTGTCTCATCTGGCTGACGTATTGCCTCGCGATTGCACCAGTTCACGCCATCGCGAGGTAACCCTCAGCACGAGGGTTTAAAAAGGAGTCGGGACAGAGGACTGAACGGAGACGAGACGGATCGAGACTATATTGGGCCATCCACCTGGACTGACGACGACATCGATGCTGCATCATTATTCTAAAGTTGGACAAATAATAACCAGTTAATTCAATAAAAAGTTAGCGTTCTCACCAACCGTTTTAGACCATTTTAACTTCGTAGTCAAGTCTAGAACACCTCAGATGCTACACCCATAATGCACCGCGCGGTTACGGCGACGGCGACGCCAACGCGTCACGCCGACGCGTTACACCGACGCCGCTCAAACCGGGAACGGGCGCCTAAGAGCTGCGCTCTAAAACTAATAAGATACATAAAAACGTGTGAAGTAAAGTTTTCATCGACTTGCTTCCTAAGCTTCCTCCTCTCCTCCCGACCCCCGCCTCTGTCACTGACTCCCGACAGGTACTTCGAGATTCTCTCTCGTGGTTACATCCCTTCAA